GCCGGGGGTAATTTTGTTTGCCGAAGAATCCCTTTTTCCTAGCCTGAACCGAGATGAACAGCGATGGATGGTAAACGTAATATTTGATGGACACCGAAGGAGTATAGTTATGGTTCGTTAGGGTTCAGACTGATCCTGATTGATTGTCCAGAATTTTGGGGGATGAAGGGCTTTGTTTTTTGGAAAGATCAGAATTAATTGGAATTTGAAAAAAAGACGACTCGTCCATTAGGACTGACTTGTTTTAAGAAAAAGATGAGCTTTCCTAAACGTCTATATAAAAGTATAGTAAATCCCAGGTAGGCCTTGATTAATTACTATCGTCACGATCAGGCAGTACCAGCGAGCAGTGTTGGACTTTGAAAGACAATCCAAGAAGTGACGTCCCGTTACAGCATGTCCAGAACAAAAGGTAGACAAAGTTGAAGAAGTCCATTAGTATGAAAATGCGATAGGAAGAAGAGAATTTGAATAAACATACGGGCCGAGGGTTGTTCCTCGTTCCGCTCGACGTGCGTCCGCGTTTTTCCTCGTCCCGTTCTGTCCAACCGAGCCGGGAGCACGAACCATCCACCTCTGAACTTATTTTATTTAAACTTTTATAATTCGAACGTGTTCCTTCAACGGCCCAGTGATATGCTTTACGACGGTCAGGACTTTTGGGCTTGAATCTTCAGCAAGCCTCCCTTCATTCCACCCTGACTTCAATTTTCATTTATCAAAAGACAGAGGAAGAATTAGAATTTTAGCCTGGTGAAGGTTTTTAGCTTTCGCATCTGGGAATATCATATTTTCTAGATTTTATAGGCTTTCCAATGGAACTGTATAGTTCTTTTTTTTATATACCACATTGGAACGATCATTCATCGTTACATCGTACGTATCTACGAGTACCATACGGAAACTGGAGCTCGCGGATCGATATTTGAAACTCAAGAATATTTGCAGCATTTTATCTTTAGACCTCGCTCGTTTGATCCTGAAGAAAGTGACTATAATTTCGGTGGGACGTCGGTATTGGTAAAGTTGAATAATAATAAATCCTCATTTGGGAAACTTTTCCCGGTTATTAATCGGCGTAACGCGACGATTTCCCGCGGTAAAAGGAGAACCGCGACCGGAAACGCATGATTTATAGTTAGTACAGCCGCGTCCCGCAATTATGATCCATTCGCGACAGCAGCGCCGTCAGATTTACGGTACCACCCTCCTATCGTCGGCACGGTTTCATCAGGCACGCTTTTTAGAATTCATTTTCAGCTTTAAGCTTCATTTCTCTACGGCCAACGGAATTAAGCTCGCGGAGAAGGGGGAGGGGGATTGGTACAGGGGACAAACAGCAGATTGGTAGGCGTTACCGCAGCAGCTGGTACACTTAAGGGGTCCACCAGTAACGAACAACACCTCCTTCCACCTCCAATCCCGGATACCAGCCCTCCCACTTTCAAAAGCTTCCTCTACACGTGCATACACGCGGTGCACAACAACCGAGGTTATACCTGCGGCAACAATTCTCCGACTTTTTTTGTAATTTACGAGGATACGAACGCGACCGACAGAATTACGATCCACCCTCCTGCGGATGCGTCGCGTCGGCGCGATCCTGGTTACTCTTCGTTTAATCTGACGGTGGAAGGAACCATTTTATGCATCCTTGCTTCGGTGGTTGATTCGAAATACAGTTGGGTTTGTTTGGATTTTTGGAATTGGGATGAGAAATGGGGGTAGCAATTGCGAAGGGGCAGTTTTGTTAAGGGTGGCATCTTATGACGTCATCAGGACTTAGGATTTGATCGCCTCGACACGTCCTATGTCAGTAGGGCCGAGAGTTCGGACCCCTTGGCATCTTATGACATCATCAGGACTTGGGATTTGATCGCCTCGACACGTCCTATGTCAGTAGGGCCGAGAGTTCGGGCCCCTTGGCGTCTTATGACGTCACCCGGCTGAGCGCGTTGAGTAGGGCACAATGTTAAGTTATAAACAGAAATTAGATTAGGCACGGTTTAAAAAGAACGAACCGGGTAATTCAGTTTTGTCCCTGCCTCGTCCGGATGCTAGGTAGCTTGTTAATTTATCGATCAAGGCTCACGCGATATGCCTGAAATTCGCGGCATGATTTATAAGCGGAACAAACGACTCTAGCCGGGCGAGTTTTTAGACAAATCACCCCCGTTCAACGACTCGCGACACATTTCCATACGCTTATTTTGTCAATAGTGCTCGCGTTTCTGCGTTCGAACAAAAAAATCGGACGGTCTTGTGCAAACACAATGGGACACAGGAAACGTAAATTCAAGTTTCACCTCTTATCGTCGTGAAAAAACCTTTTACAATATTCCCCGTGTCCTTAATTATGGCAAAAAGAATGCAAATTTAGGTCCGATGTACAGTAAGCGGTAAGCATGCGTCCTTCTGGGTACAGCCGAGGGTTCCACGGATGGAAATATCATGTATGTATGCTGCCCCCATACAAATAATGGGTTACAGAGGCTTAAGCCGGCGAGAAGTGGGAAAAACACATAGCGACATCCCCCAGGGACCATAGGTCTAAGGCAAACTCTGCTAAGTGGTCTACCCTGATCAATCCCATATCAAACCCAAAAGGAAACCCACTTCCAATCCATTTACTTTCCTATTTACCATTTATACTTCAACATGCTTAATAACAAAACAAACTCTGAAGGGTCCTGGCCTTCGTAGTTCACTTGCTACAATCGGTATCACGCCTTCAATTTCCTACGACAAACAGAGGGTACTCGGCAGCTGCTGATAAACCCAGCCAATTAATCAAGAAGATGATACAGCATTTACGTCGTTCATTATTTCAACGCTGATGACTTTTTTAGCCAACAGTGTATATGGGCCGAGAGGACGCGGCTGACTAATGCCTTGGGACAGTGGGAGTTGACGTTTGTCGTGGCAGTGCCTAGCGTGCTGCTGTTCCACCTACTACCCCCTAACGTAACCTCACCGCCCTCCGCCAAATACCCGTGTCTTCCCCCTTTCCGAAGCCCTGTTCCTCGCTTACGCGCCCAACAGGACTCATAATTGTCCTCGTCCGAGCTGGCATATCGCGGAAGCAACCCGGAGGACACGAAAGTGGTTATGCGCATTCCTATTCAACGTGGAGAAACGCACGGTAAGGTAGCTGGAGGGAGGGATGAGCTAGCGATGGGCTCGAATATGGGACATCAGACCACGGTGCTGAACTTATGGCACATTCAGCGTTTAGACCTTGACTATTAGGCCTAGAAAATTGGTAACCAGAGAAATATAAATGGAGATTTGACATCCTGGGATCAGGACTTGCAAACCTAATAAGAGGAATCTGAAAGTTGGGATGTCACCTTTAAAAGATCCCAAAGGGTTAAGTCATTTTGATGGATTCCAAGTGTCAGGGACTCGCGATTATTGTAAAATTACAGATTATTCAATGGAACTGAACTGCTCGATGACTCGCGACAAAGGGAATGGAATACCCATCGCTAGGGACGGGGGGCTAAAGGGACAAGCCTGATCGCTCCCCGTGTCCCGCGGCTGAATACTTGAATATTGATTAAGCATGCACATCGCGATTACTGGAAGCAGGTAAAAGCGCTCCTCGCCGGGCTGCGTGTCTGCGGATATTTATACGGGACGTTGTCTCTGTCCCTTCCCACCGCAGCAGAAAAAAGTCTCCGCCGCGACCGATGGATCTCCCCTAACCGTGACTCGTTTAAGGAAACCAGGTAGCTTTAAAACTTCGATAAAAGTCTGATCCGCGATTCTTCATGAACATTTGCTCGTCGTTAAAAATATGTTATTAGACTTCCAATCGATTCGAGTACTATTTCTTTCGACAGGAAACAAAACGGATCATTTCTGAGTCGTCTAAAACAATTACCTACGTGGTAAGAACCGAGGAGACCGCATGATATTTGGTTTACGATCAGCTTTTCAATGATCAACCTTCTCGACTCATTGTTCCGTCGCGGTCTGGCCTACTTTCAGAGTATGATCAGCCGAGTGGCAGAGAGCACGTTCCTGTTTCAAAATTTAGTTTCCTTTGTCGCGCTGTTAGGCCTAGCAATCTCTTCGAGGACCTTCGGCATACGTGGCTGACTTTTTCGTTAAAACAGAATATACTCTATTTAGCAGTCGCCTAGAACTTCATTTAATAGGATGGTGACATCATCTGTGGTGCCAGAAAGTTCCATCAGGAACAGAGGCATATATATTTTAAGTAGGTCAAAGAATCAGATATTCTTAATTGATGACGTAGAACCACCAAAATGATAAGCGATTCTACATCTGCGATCTTAAATTAGACGCTGTAATGTCAGTAGCAGATTTTGTTTCGTAATTATTATTAGGAGGACGATGGCAAAAGGTCGTGTTCGATGATCTAATACTGGCCTAAGTAGGTGCAGACAGAGCTACCAGCCACTACCATGTGGCAACCTAGTCGTTCGCTGCTTCCTCGTTCTTGACCACGATCAACCACCACTCGACACCGGGTTTACGGTGAAAAAAAGCGACGTAAAACAAAAGGGAAGAGGGAAAGCCCTCGAGTTTTTGAATATTCAGTAGGTACATCCTGGTCGACTTCCACCTGACCCTGTTTCAACGGGGAAAATCGGCACGTTCCGGGTCGTATTCGAGCCGAGACACGTCGAGACCGAAGTTAAAACTATTTTTAATTAATTTCCGGTGGAATAAAAGCTACAGCCTCGAGAATGGTTGTCTGAGGCCACGGGGATCAAGATTAAGGGTCGTCCAGTCGGTCAAGTAGATTCTCATGGAATATTGTACGTTTTACCGACGAAAAATTTGATGTTATCGTTTGTGGATAAATCTAACAGCCGGTAATGTCGCATGAAATCTTCCTTATCGACTGCGAATTTAACACGAGAAAGATGTATACAGATTTCTACCTGCCCTGCAGGCGATAATCAGTAGCGTTGAAAGTAAAACTCCAGCTGTTTTCAGCCGTCTTTATAATAAAAAACAAGACTCACCGGGGTAGTTGCAGTCGTGTTCGTCGCTTCCATCGTCGCATTCCTTGATGAAGTTGCACCTATGCGACTCCAAGATGCACCTGGACACATCACAGGCGAATTCCCCAGCACTGCAGCCTGTAAAATCAAGTCATCCACTTCGTATTCCACTAACAGTACAACAAATTACATTTCTGCACGCTTCTTGTACACATAAAGAGAATGAAGATGACGACAAACAGAAAGTCATCTCCGACTTCTTTGTTTGCCAGAACAAAGCAACAAAAATGAAATCTATGGCTACATACAAATCATGCAATGTGTTTATGATACAATATGTACAATTCGATGTGATCCTCGAAGCCATGTTTAAGGTATCCCAAATCAGACTCTGTACCTGGATGGGGGCAGCCAACTTCGTCACCGCCGTCGTCACAATCTGGCACGCCGTCACATCGCTGTACAGAGCAAATAGAACGACTTCCGTCGCTACAGCGTACCGTGTCGTCGGCGCGACACTTATTCACGCTAGGTCTCGATGTGATTCCTTCTTCTTCATCCTGATTAGTCGTCGACTCGACCGATTCTTCAGGTTCTTGGTACGGTTCGGTGACGGTCTTATGGTCCCGGTCTATGGGGTGGAAGTGCAGAAGGGAGGATGTCGCGTCTTTAGATGATAAATAATCAAAATATGGAGAGAAACAAAAAATCATATGAATGGCAGAAGGTAGAGCCACTTTGCTGGCTACCCTCTCAAGTAGTGAAAAATTAGCATGCGATGAAGTTAATTACACTGAATATAATAATGACTGTCAATAATAGAACAAGTTACTGTACAATAATTAGCAGCTTCTGAAATGATGGTATCAGATTTTAATGAGCTTTTGCATGCTGATGCATCGATATCCGGGTACCACTTCGGGAACTATCCTTGTGAGAGTTTAGATATATTTACAGAGCCCGATCGCGATTTTCTTCGTTTACTTACCAAATGGCGACCTGGAGCAGTCCAACTCATCAGAACCGTCTTCGCACTGGGCAATGCCGTCGCACCTGGAGTCTAATGGCACGCATGCACCGTCTCTACATCTCAGTTCTGTCGATTGGTCGCATTCCAGTTCGTCTACACCACTGTCGGCTGATGTGTGTTCGTGTGTGGATGTGTTTCATTGTGTACAACCGTCAAGTAACAAAAGGATGCAACAAAAAATAAAACAGAACATAAGAACAATGGCTAACAGTTTGATATGTTGACCATTCACGTGCAGATGTACTACACTAGGTATCACTAATTGTGTTCAATTATTGAAGAGATCGATCCCTTGACACAGACCCACGTGATAAAAGTTTTCTCAAGTTCATCGATCTCCTCTCCAAAGTGAACTTCCTCTTTATACGACAGCAAGAAGGATATCGAATTACGAATCACACACAGCTTGGAGATGGTCCGCCGAGGAATCGATCATTTTTCCCGCCAGCATATCTTGGGGATAAGTTACCTTGGAACACTCTGAACGTGAATCCCTCTGGACCAACTTGGATGTTGCCCAAAGAGTGGTACTGCAGCTGTTGCTCGAGGATGTTCCGCACCTCCAACTCATCCGTGAACGTCGACCCAATGTCTAAAGTAACTTGTGACGTGAAGCTGTCGGACGTTGGCCTAAAACAAGCAGGAAAATTGTTAGCATTCCTGGGATGCCTTTAGACTGAGCCACGGTGACCCAGTGGCTTAGGTAGTTCCTCTATTTCTGATTTCGTTGGATGCTTTTGAAAATAATCTCATTGATGGGAAAGAGGAGAATCACAAGGTACTGAGAGGAGTCCAGAGACTCCTGCGAACAAGGTGTCATAGAGTCCTGGAACCAGGGGCAACTTTAGGTCCCAGTGATGCTTACGATATCTTGACGACGTTGACATGATGGTTCTCATTAGGAATACGGCGATTGTACAGCTCTTCAAGGGGTTGCGTCAGGTTGCCACTAAGCTCCTTGTACTCCCGGCTATTTCTGTCCGCATACTCGCGTCTATAGGGTTCACCGACTGTCAGGGTGATCCTGTAGTACTCTGTAAAACCATCCCCATTTTTGTAAACCTTGACGAATGTACTATCGACCCAATGTCAACAATAGCCTACTTCTGTTTCCCCTCGCAGAAGGATGATTATCAATGCCTCCATCAGTGGCACTGCCTTCGACTTCCCCAGAACCAGCCAGGTCCTCGTCGTCGGTATTCCCAAAGTCAGCTGGCTCTCTGCGACCCTCGGCTGTATTACCAATCTCGTTTTCCTGTTAAACGCAATGCAGTGGTTATAACATCCTAGACAAACGACAGATCTTCGATCGCTAACCTCATCGACGTCTTCATACTGATCTCCCCTTTCATGGACCAGTCTCTCCAGGTTGGCCGGTTCTTTAACACTGGACATTTTTGGCTCTGCTTCGCCGTCAGGTTCACCTGGCGGTGCATTTTCCAGCTCTTCCTCGGCGTTGTCTTCGTCTTGGTCTGCGGGAATCAAAGGGGGATCAGTTAAGGTGGAATAAAAATGAGGATGAACATGGACTGTGACGGAGTACCTGCTGTTGCCTCGGTAGTCGGCGCCGCTGTCGAGGATGCTGGCTGCAACCAGGAGAAGAGTCCTCTCTTTAATCGATGAAGCATCGACTCTTGCTGATGCGTCTCTATCAACGGAGCCTCGTTGAACGACTGCTTGCCATCCTGGTCGAAAACCAGGTCGTCGTTCTGCAAAGCAAACAGAGAAGCTTTCTATCATGCCTAGAATCTTACTTTACGTATTCGTCAAATGACGTCGATTCTCAATTACGGTGCACCCGGAGGACGTTCAACGAAAGAGGGAAGCTTGAAATAACGCAAACCGAAGCTGTTCCTGAGCATCCAACCTCTCCATCGCTACAAATCAGTCTGTATATCGGCGAGTGTGCTCACGTGCCGCTCATAAAGAACCAATTCTCACCTAAACACGCGATATAAATTCAGAATCGACCCGGCACCGCCGTGATTCGCAACAAGCTGGCCAGCATTCAACGAGTCACGGGTCAACGACGTCCCTCCACCCTCTTTCGAAGAGGTAGACGAGACTATTGGATGCGCGGGGAAATAAAGTATCGTTAGAGGAAGAAAACGGCTGACGAGCTTATGCAACGCGAATCGTGTATCGACGTTATTCCACGGTGCGGGGATACCAAACTGGATGGCTCCTCGGGGATCCTGCGTGACCCCACACGAATCAGAGGACGCTGAAGAGATATAAAGCGCACTTTCAGGATCGTTACCGTCCTAGTGTCCTATTTCGACGATGAATCGAGGGATACAGGATGGGACTGAATGATGTCGAGTTGAATTCTGGTAATTAAACTCGACCTAACTTCCGCAAAGGAACACCGAATCAGTGTTGCAAAAACTGATCCGCGGGAAAAAGCAACCATCTGGCGGATACGCTCAATAAAAGCTAATATTTAGCGTTTCGATGCAGCGTGCACGAAGAGATGCGCCTCGCGGTAGCACGTGACCGGAAGTACAGACGCGCTTTTCCTGCTCGTGCACCGCGTTAATGAAGCTTAAATCGGTCCAGACGGAACGTATTATTACGTTCACGCGTTCGTTTAAAGCATACGCGAAACGATCCACGAGTGTTCCATGTGTAGGAAAAGATACGGCGTGTATATACATTACGTAACCATAAACGATACGTCGTTGAGGATAATGGCACGACCTGACGCTCGTTAATTGTGATCTTAATCAATCCATAATTAGGAGCACGTGGGTACAGTTGCGGGCACGCGATAAACTCCGGGGGCACTCGAGCGCTCTACGGGCAATTTCGTGTGCACGTCTAATATAAACTGTTGAATTAGATCAGTATTGCGTCTGCTTTAATTAAGTCAGATTTGGACTTAAGTTAATTAACAGATAACGCTTTTTCAGTAAATCGCAGTTCATTCTTATCCGAAGCTGCATCCATCCGGCGTTCCGTGAAAAATCACGGAAACGTGGACACGCTCAAACAAGATAAATCCACGATAACTCGCGCCACGCATCCTGCAACGTTCGACGACTGTTTTCAGGCTCGTTACGTTCGTGACCTCTTCAACAACGTCGACATTTCTGCGCGAGATACGCTGAAAGGATTTTTCGGCCCTGCCAAAAGGAGGACGCAACGTTTTCAGAAACTCGTTGTTTCGCTCGAAGGGCTTCGAATAGACGCGTACCTCGGCTGTTTCTTTCGGCGTTAAAAACTCATCGCGGCCATAAAAGTGCAACTTTTGGATATAAATATCATTATAATCGAAGAATCTAGGCGTGTCGATGAACCTGTTAAAGAGCATGAATCGTAAACGGTCGTAAAAGAGGAAAGAAAAGGGAAGAACGAAGTTAAAGGGGGGGGAGGGCGGGTCGTATAGGGTGGCATGAACGAGCTTCCGAGACGAGACTTTGTTATTCCAGGCAAGTTTTACACGGGATTTCCCGGCTAAGTCCACTCTATGATCCTTTCACGACAACTACGTGCTCATACTTCGACAAAACAGCGGGGCCCACGGTGTCCGAAATCCTTAAAATGCATGGGAAATACGTGTCGGGGCAGGTTAAGTGGCCGGCAGGAAATTCGTCCTCGGAACTTTGAAGCTTCTCGGGGACAAACTTGCAGCCAAACACCGGCACCCACCTACCACATGCTGTCGGTCAATTTCATGCGACCTATAGACCTAACGCCTCTTTGATCCTCCCTTATTTGACTGCTTCGAACAGCGCCAGTGGTGCCCCCTACCAAACTTAACCTAACCTGACCCAACCTAAGTTAGATCAGTGGTACCCACATAGGACTGGGAATAAAGCAACGTGTAAAATAGATACATTTAATACTTGCTCTTAGATGCTAATAGCATTACTGTCGATGGTGCGACCTAACCTAGACGTCTTGGACGACTGATCGAGGTTAAGCACTGAATCATTTCAAGAGCCCTATATATCAATGCCGATGATATTTCGAAATCAGAAACCGCTTTTCGAACAGGCTGGACAGCGTAGGGCAGGAAAGTCCTGCGAGAAGGAGATTCAGCCGGGTGAACGAAGAAGGAAGAAAGGGGGTCATTAAACTCGGCGCAAAAATGAGTCCAGAGCGATGAGTCACCGGTCGTGGAGAACTGGTCCTGAAAAATAAGTCTCGCGCCTCTCCTCTGCTGTCTGTGTCGTTAAACCCAGTTTGCAGTTTGCCTGCACGTGTCGATTGCATAACGCGACTGAAAACGCTTCGAAGCTGATGCAGTTCTCTCATTGACTTTTCATTACCCTGCCCCCCAAGTCGAGTATTTCAGAATATTTATCATAGATAAGAATGTGGACTTGATAAAGAGTCACTTGATCTATGATACATTGTAGAACACATATGGCTTTACAATAAACTAACATGTGTCTATATTTTCTTAGGCAGTCTGTTTGTTTGAGCTGTTGCAATGACACTAAGAAACTCTACTTAGCTGCATAATAAACATTCACTTCCTTTGGGCCTATAAGGCTTGTGACCCTAGGACACAGTTGCCTTGAAGAAGTATGTATATTAAGTCGCTTCAGTTAATCAATTAACCACTTCAGAATTATCCTCCCACAGTGTTCATCTCCCTTTATGCAGATGTCCAAATAACCAATCCTCCCACCAGTCCCTCTAAGTTCCTGTACACCATCCTAACCTAGGACAACATCAGTCTCCTGCAGCATTCACAGACACCTGTCTGACCCATCTAAACCAACCTAATCACAGGAAGATCAGCCAGTCCAGACGGTACCAGGTGAAATATGGAGGCTCTTGATCGGCCAGGATCAGGTCCGCCATCGCAGGAACGTCTTTCAAAGGTCAAGACCCGGCACGTTCCGCGAGGCGGAGAAGAAAGAAATCCCCCAATTCGAGAGACTTTCCTGGAGGGCTTCAACTTAACGAAAATATACGTTCATCGCGAGCAGACGAGCCTGCGAGAGAGGCAGAGGGCGCTGCCGGTGGAGGAGAGGACCAGGGCTGGCCGATCGTTCTTTGTCTTAAGCCGTGCTATATTAATGCGAAGAGCATGCCACGCGCGAGCAGACCGCGAGAGGAGGGTGAGCTAGGCGCGGAAAAGAGGGCCGTCGTCGTGCGGAATACTAAGGAGCGCGGAGAGCCGCAGCATAGGGGGCGCCTTTGCATTTTAACTGCCTCCATGGAGCGGCGACTTCTCCCTAAGGTGCCCGGAAACGTGGACAGGTATTTACCAGTCCTTTGCCCTGGGTGTTTAACCCAGGAAGGAGGAGGACGAGACTTTTGAGCTCATGATCCCTAATTTTAGGCTTATGATCAACTAGGACTTGCAGTTATTTCACAATAACTTCAGAGATTGTGTATTGAAGTCCAACGAGGCCATGATCTAAAATTTTGTACAATTCACCTTCGTTTTTATCGTAACGCAACACGACCCTTCGGAATCGAATAGACAACGGCTCCCAAGGATGGTAACCTAAGAACTATAGTCACGTGTTGATTCCCAGGTCATAGAAAGAGGGAAGGGGATAAGATCCCGAAGCGGATCATCTTATATGAACTTTCATATCCCCCAGTGGGAGACAAGCACCGTTTGCAATCCTCTGAAAAGGGTGAAATTGCGGAAATCACGATGCTGCCGACTTCCCGAGAAAGAAACGTTCTGGCTCGCGAAAGAATCGGGCCTCGGGCTGCGATCTGCCAGTCACGCGTCACACATCGAAACTGCACGTTCTATTCCGGTAAGGGGGAAAAAACCGCGTAACGCTTCCGGCGCTACCGTCGGATGTCGATGAGGGTTTCAAGCGAACTGGCCTTTTCAATTGTCCCTCTCGTTCGTTCGCGATTGGGGAAGTATCAATTAGGCAATTTTTTAATCAGACACAATTGACGTAGTTCATTTGTATCATGGCATATCATTGTTGATGATTTCGTAGGATTTTTTAAGACTAGAATTTTACACAATTTTTTCAAATTTTCCAGCACCCCAAAATTTTTTTTCTGCATTTTCCAGAACTCAACAATTTCCCTTCGATTTTTCAAGATTCAATTTATAATTGGATCAATAAATATTCATCTAATTACTAACAGAAGACACTCCACAGAAGATAATCGTCCTCAATGAAAGAAATAGTGAATGAATGAATCGATCACAGACTAAAAAGGGCTCGTAACAGCGTCACAGGTTTGTTTTCAGAGCAAACAAGCAGGAATCTCTACACCCTACCTAAATACGTTGGTTAACCATTCTTGATTCTCTCTCTCTTCCACCCTCTTTTTGCACCCCATGCGGTTAGCCAGACAATTTTCCCCCATTTTCTCTGTTTCTCACCCCTTGGCTGAAACTCGAGGCGACTCGACAAATTAGAAAGCTCAGTCACCCACTTAGGGGCTTTTATTCTCTATCATCTTTTACCAATTTAGATTCTCCAAATTTTCAGATTTTTCCAAGACTCTCCAACACCTTTTTACGAGTTTTTCAAATTTTTAAGCTCTCGCTTTTCTAAATTTACCCACATGAATAATAATTATTAGATTACTAAGAGTGAAGGTTATTATTACCAACAATTTTAGAACTTTTAAATTCCTCTCGATCTATCTTCTAATTAAACATCGAACCGATAGGACAAAAATAAATTTCATTGATTTATTCATCAAGACAATTACCATCAAACTTTCCCAATGAATAATTCATTATCAAAGATAATTACTGATTCAA